TCTCCAACATTTCATTCTCCCCTAGGGTTTTAGGTCTTTGTAGAGCATGCTAGCACCCAAAGCACCATTTACAGCTTTGTTTCTATGGAGACAAATGCCCTGAAAGTTCCAAACAGCCAAGTCACGAATATTTGTGGGACATAATGTTTTTAAGTTGGAGACTGCTAATATTTATGAAATGAGCATTTAAAACAAAAATAGATTTTTCAACAGGAGCCTGCAGGGACCAAGGGAGCATATTGATTCAGCTCCTGCCACCCTTCTCTTCTCCCCCACACCCAAAGGTGATTGGAGTTCTATGGAAATAATCTGCTACTCAAGCAGTTTCAAAATTAATTGAGGAGAAGCAAAAACATGGAATCAGAGATATGACTGTAGACTACAATCTGAGTACAAATATTATTGATAGGATTTTTTTTTAAAAAAACTTTGGATAATTCTCACCTTAATAAACTTTATGTAAAATTAGAGTTGCCCACTGAAGTATTGAAATTTCAAAATACAATGACCTATTTTTTGCATATTATATTTTGATTTTTTTAAAAATAAAAGCAAAAGCATATTCTGACCTGGAATTTGGAGACAATTAGAAAATCTCCTATGGGAAGATTTTATCAGAAATCTAACTTGTTTGAGAATTTCAGTAGTTTACTTAACATACGTATTAAATTCATTTCTCTTATTAGACTACTTTTTATTTTTAAATCAGAGAACACAAATCCAAGAAAGGACTCATTCTTAAACTTCGAACTAGTACCTTTGAGAAACTTCCTACTAAGAAATGTTTTTGCACTTTAATTTTTAAGAACATATAATTTTATAAAAATATTAATTCATTACAGCTTTTATGGAATTATTGCCAATTGTCCCTCTGTAATCCTGCTTGTAATTACTTTTATACTAATATTATACTACTATATAATATTATAGTCATATTAATGTAAAAGTTAAATATTTCTTTGTTCAATGTTACTTTTTAAACAGAGAAATCCAAGCAGCCAAATAAATTGGGGATTTCTTTGTACTTTTTGGAGATATCTCTGACTATAACCAGGTTTTTTAAAAATTACTTGATTCTAAAGATTTTATCTTGAAACAAAAATTTACAAATTTTCAAAGAAAGACACAGAAATATAAACATTGAAAAGGAAAAAGTAAGAATTAAGTTTGCAAGCAAACTTGCCAACAGTACAAAGAAGTCATATTTCAGAAGAACTGGCTGGCCAAATTAAAAAACACAGCAAGTATTTAAAGAGAAAATATCCCACAAAATTACTAAGGTTGCCAACTTTACATTAGACTATTTATACTGAGAAAATAGCAATTTTACCAAAATCATTGTATTCACAAAGATTGTGACATATCTTCAGACAGATATGGCTGGTGGGGGGGGCGTCTGGACTTATAGAACAGTCAAGGTTTTATTACTTGAGGGACTGGAACCAGTCACCTTTATTTTTAGTTTATCTCAGTACAGTACACTTATTTCAGTGGTAGAATATGAAGTGTTTTGTGTAATTGAAATCAGGGCAAAATGTCATATTTTGCTTTTACAAAATGTATATTTTTACTTGTTGATGTTCTCTACTCCTCCCTTACTATGAATACTCAGAGCTTTGTGTGGTTATTTTAAAGGGGTTCAGATAGTTAATTTGATGAGTATGCCTCTTCAAAAATGCTCTGTGAATTTTCTTAAACGTGCTCTAGCCAAATATGCACATTCTCATATATTTCTCATCCCACCTAATGTAGACTGGCACCCTTTAATATGTACCTATAGACAACCACCCACACTAATTTCCTGATTAACAAATTATTAAAGCCAGGCTTCAATTACAATAAAACTCTGTCTTATAAGAAATACAGATGAGAAAGAGCAGCCATTGACATAGAAGAAAACTCTGGAAAGGACGGTGTCCTAGAGGCCATGAGAAGAAAGTTTTTCAAGTTGGAGAGAGCTCTTGATACTTCAAAAGCCCCTGAAAATTCAAAGCCTCTAAGAAAGAAGACCCAAAAGAAAACCAATCTATATCAGCAAGGGCTGGAAGCTGGTGCCCACTTCACAAAATCAAAAAGGTAGAGTTACACAGGCACATCTAGCTCACAGAATGACTGGATTGGCCTAAACCAAAATGTAAATACACCTTGGAAGAATGCCATTGATAGCATGAGATTTGAAGAGATCCTGAGTTCAGTACTACAATTTTTAGCCCAAGATGCACAATATACAGACAACCAGCAACATCTCCAGGACACAAAGACATATGAAAAAGTCTCCCCAAATAACTCAGATGCTACTCAGCATTCAGATCTTGTTATATAGAAACAACCAGCTATGCCTTGAGATCAAAATCCAGAGCAACCAAAAAAAGAAATCATAGTGAAAATGAAGAAAAAGGAAAGCAGAAATGGAGAGGAGAATGAAAAGGAGATAAAAAAGAGGAAGAGGCAGTGGAAAAGAAACTGGAAGAGGAACAGAAAAAGAAGAGACAGAGATAATGAGGAACTATAACCCAAGAAAAGATCAATCAGCAAATCCCTCATTTATACTCTCTGGGCAAAGTTTAAATTAAACACCCCACGATACAAGATAGTCTATCACTCTCATTTGAATTTAGCATAACAAACAGATAAATCAATGGTTTTGTAAAAAGAGAAAGAAACACAACAAAGAAATGTCCAATCAGAAGCACAACAAAAGACACAAGAGAATACCTTGCACAAGGTTATCAATTTCAGAAGGGCAGGATACTGAGTACTGATTACTTATCCCAGGGGAGGACTCCCACTACATGAAGATAGCAAAGATGCTCATTATGCCAACCACCAGGAACAGAAGTCCAAACACTTCCACCTGTTGCACCTTTAGTACCGTGCCAAACACAACACAGTCAAGCAATTAATGGAAAACCCCTTACTTACAAAGAGAAGAGACAAAGCAAGATCAGCTTCAATACTGTGTGTCAGTCCCCATGGCCAGCCAGTCGCTCCCAGCAGCCAACACAGGGCAATTGGCTATGCGTGACCCTCTTATGCCACAATAGAAGGACGCTGTACCCTCCCCTCAGAGGACAGATATAGCAGTGGGGTTGACCGGGTGCCATCTAACCCACACACTTAAGCAGAAAAAAAGAGCATGCATTGAGCTTGCTACAGGGGAAGATACTCCCGCACAATGCCTTGCACAGACCATGTGAGCTCTATCTCTTGGCAAAGAAGTGGTCCAGGCCCAGGGCTCATTCCTATGCAACCAAGTGAGGGTCAAAACACAGCACGTGTAAGACTGCCTTTCCCAACTATCATTCATCTGAACCATAAATGAGGAAACTGAATTGTTGAGAACTATTGAGTTCGTCAACAAGTAACAGTTCCTAAATGTCTGAGTCTGAATGTGTACTCTCATCTTTCCACTTCAAATGCCATGTGTTTTCATTTATAACATGCGGAATATTCTAGACTCTGTCAATTTGTATTTCATACGTAAGGGTCATATACTTTTAATGTGCTCTATTAAAATTTTAGTGTGATGGTATTTCTAATGTTCTTGCACCTTTTCTACCTCCATAACTTCTTTACTTTTGTGAAAATTTTAATTGTATTTTAGGAAGATCCCCTGGTCCTTCAATGTATATTGTTTTCAGATTTAACATATTTTGATATAAGTTAAATATACGGACTGTGTTGTGAAACATTTTATATGACACCATTCTCATGTACAAATGGAGTTTGGAAGGATAAACAAGAAAATATTAATAATGGTTAATTCTGTGGAGTAGAATTAGATGAGGGGAGTGCAAAGGAGTTTCTAAATATTTTATTTTTACCCTATTGTGGATTTGAGGTTTTTATACTGTATGTTCATTGATTTTATTTAAGAAAATACTAATTTAAAAATTACCAACCTCTATGAACTTCTTAGAGGAAAAAAATCATCCTTAATGTGCTAAATTTTTCTTGTTTCCACTACAGGTTAAATACTCAAACTGCTTTGGTATCAAAATTAAAGACTGTCAGCAATGGAATTAGGTTACAATTTTCCTTCATCTCCATTTTAACATGCACTTAAAAGTGGATTTTATTGCTTTTCTGTAATACTCATTAACATTAATTTAAAATTAAAGTTTTTAAATATTTCTGTGGCTATAAGAAATAATTCCATTCTTAAAACACAGTTTTTAAAAATAATAAATAATTCCCCCAAAAAAGGTGGTCAGAAAGAGACTGGCTTTTAGGGCAATTAACCCCAATTTCTATTTATCATCTATCTGCTTTTCTATGAGGTTGCTCAATTTTAAGGATATTGTTTGAAACAATATTATCTCACAGTGGTTCAAACTTTGCAGCCTATCCAAAACTAAAAATGTAGTTTGAAACAAAAATTACCTTTCCACTATTTTAAAAAAATCATTATTTTTTCTTTTTTGATCCGTCTGAACTTTATTACCCTGCTTGGATATGCTGCACTCTTCTGGGCACAGAATTTCATAGCACGTATTAAAATAATCAAGCCATAAAGTCAGCTTTATCAAACAATGATTTCCTGTTCACAAGAACTTTGAGTGTATGACTGACTCATACACAAAACAAATACGCAACAAATTATGATGGTTAAAATTAACACTTAAATGAAAACTATAATAAGGATTTCTGAGTTAGTTTTCTGTTTTCGCAAACAGTCTCACACCTGAAAAAAACTGTATTGTGGGCACCTTCTTGAACGGTGCCAGCTGTTTCCTTCGTTTTAAGACAACAAGCAGAAAAATAAGTAAAATCGCATTTCCAGGGAAAGAAGAGGGTTTTAAAATAAGTCTGCTATAAACCAGCTTCCAGACACGGGAAGTTAGTCAACTTTTCCCACTCCGATAACCCTTTATCTGTAGGGCAACAGGGGAATTATGAACACTTGTCGAAAAATCATGTGCTCCCCCCACACGAGGGGAGGGGGTGCTTGTGTGTTCATAAAGTCATCCTATGTGGTATCAGCAGGGGCCGGGCATACCATGCGATGTCACGCGGGTGGAGACAGTGTTGCCATGACATTCCATGAGGCATCAGATACTGTAAAGCTGTCTTGAGAACAGTCTCTATTGGACCAAGTCCTTACTTCGCTGGAAGAAATCGGAGCCAAGACTTAATTTTAACAAAGTATTCAATTTATTGCTCGAAGCTATGGCAGCATAAAACTGTCTTCTTAGAATGGAAAATTTGACCAACTGCTATGAGGTAAATGAATTTTGAAAGTGGGGGTGGGCGGGGGAGGCGCATAACTTTTTTTTGGAAGGGGGAGAGGGCATGTACGAAGTCTTAAGCAACCACAGAACCTAAGTCTCTCAGAATGTAAGAGGATGTCAGACAAACGGCAGAGCTGATCAGCTCTCGGGACCCGGCTCCTCTAACGTTAGGACGTTGGGTTTAACTGCTGCTGGGCACGGGGAATCCCTGCCCTGGGTAGGAACAGAGGAACTGGAGACAAGATGCGCTGCAGAACGACCCGGTGCCCAGTGATCCTCAGCGAGCCCCTGCCTTGCCCGGGACTCCTCGGGGCGGGCCCGCGAGCGCAGGGCGCAGGTCGGAGACCGAGGCAGGGAGGTCCCCGGGAGCCCAGGCGACCCCGGGCCACTCGAGGATCAACCACGACGAACTCCCCGACCCCGAGCCCCGCCCGCCGCCTC